TTGGAGAAGGGCTGCCCTGCGTGTGTTCTTGTCAGATATTCACCACCGCTCTCACTCCTATTTGACAGATCAAGGAAGGGAGGCTCTGAGAGGCGGCAGGCTGGTGGCAAGTCCTCCCTGTCCCCTTGTCTGAGCAGCTGCCGTGGGCAAGGCAACTACACGAGCCCTGGGAGGCTCGGGCCTGGCATCCCGGGTACAGCTCTCTGATCTCACCCACAGGGAGGCCTTCACAAGGCGGGTTTGCATCCTGCACAGGCTTGCTGCTGCCACCCAGAGGCAGGAGAAACCTGGATCCGGGTGCATTCCAAGTCAGAGGTGCCCAGGGACACCAAGGGCTGGGGATGGGGATCTGACAGATCTGGGCGGCACCCATGAAGAACAGGGGAGGAGGATGAGCAGAAGGAGGGAAGGAGTGGGAGAGAGAGGGAAAAGGGGTGAGGAGAGGGAAGCAGAGGGAAAGCCAGGAAAGAAGAGGCCCCCACATCAGCAGAGGCTGGGAACCTTTGCCAGGCACTGGCTCATCCTGGGGGGCCAAGTGGTCCCCCGCAGGAGGCAGGGAAACAGACTGCTGAAGATCCCATCAAGCCCCTGCACAGAGCCCCCACATCGGGTGCGGCAGGAACAGAGTTGAGGTCCGAAACTTGGAATGCCGGAGGCTGTGACCCGGAGGAAGCCACCCGACGTCTCCGAGTTGAGATTTCCCTGATCGCAGGGGGCCTACAGGGTGGCGTGGTGGTTCCACGCCGGGCTGCTGACTGCAAGGTTAGCTGTTTGAGACCACCAGCCGCTCTGACGGGGAAAGACGGGGCTTTCTACTCCTGTAAAGAGTGGCAGCCAACCCTCAGAGACACATGCCACGGGCTAAATACTGCAATGGCCTTGGACACTGACCTTGAGGGCAGTGGGACGATGACCCAGGGGCTACACCAGAATGAGCTGAGCCAAGCCCTGAAGGTACCTGCATGCTTGGATGGATGACGGGGGTACTAGGATGGGAGAGGAAGCAGAGAGTGGCCGCCCTGGACCTGTGAAAATGTCGGTCGTTGGAACTCGGGGGATTCCCCTGGTTTGATGGGTGTCCAAAGGAAAGGGACCAAGAATCATCATATATTTAGCACCATTTAGCACCTTGATGCCCCCCTTTCAGTGAAGGACAGGTATGGATCTGTTGAGTAGGGACTTGAACTTGGAAGAACTGACCCAGGAAGGTTCCCCCTGGTGCCAACCCCCATGCATTGGGTCAACAGAGCCCAATCAAATGGAGCTCTAACTGTGTGGAGCAATGACTCAGGGGCTGTGCTCACAGTGGGACTGTATTTGCATGGACTCCTCACGCCTACAGTGTCCACAGTGATGTGTCATTGGAAACACTGGTGACGTCACAAGTGCAGTTGCGTGATACCCCCGGGGGAGGATTGACACTGTTTTACGTTCTGTCTCTATGGGTTTTTGTTTTCTGCCTTTAGTCTGCTTGATTTGGTTTGTGTGTGCGCGAGTTGGCTTGCTGCTGTCCTTGGGATAGTTGGTTTATGGTGTTTTGAATTTGTCATCATATGACCGCCAAAGTCAACCTGAGGCGTGCATATCCCAGGGTCAAGCAGATGGATTCTGGGCCTCCACTGGACTTTAGTCCCAATCCAAGAACAGCTAGTTCTGATATCCTGGCCCTGCTTGGTACTCACCTTCATGAAATGATCACTGAAGAGAAGGGTGCTACAGAAAAGTACGGTGACGAAAGCAGAAGGTGCCCGGCTATCAATGGAAACAGTGTCTGTGGTCTTAAGAGCTTGTAGTCAAACAAGCAGCCATCTAAGCGAGGAGTCAACTAAGTCCACACGGAAGAAGCACACCAATTTGTGTGATCCAGAGATGATGATAACCAAATTCAAACATGACAAAGGGAAAAGAAACAGAGCCTAAATTTCAAGACCCAATTGGTAGAAGGCTATAAAGGGCAGCGGGGGCCCAAAACCCATCTGCAGAGCATCTAGTCAGATTAAGCCGCTGGCAGATCCTCTCTAGCCACGGGCAAGAGTCTCTAACAACTTCACTGTCCCATAGGGATCACTATAACCATGGTTACACTAGATCAAACTTGAGACTCGGACAGTGGACCTCCCTCTTGACTTCACCTGAAATTCTTCTAGGGACACATATTTCTTGCTAGTTCCTTGACAAAAAATTCCCTCCCTGGCCTTTTAAACGTTCACAGATAGGAAGGGTGAGGGGCAGGGGGAGCAGAGGATGTATGTGGGGGGACGGGGGCAGGGAGCACTAGGCTGATGGTGATTACACAGCTCATTTAGAAGCATTTAACCACGGGGGTGGGGAGAAAGAACGCGCTCTAAAATTGATTGTGGTCAGGATTGTACCACTCTTCTTGATATGATCGAACCAGTGAATTGCGTGATAGGTGGATTACAGTAAGTGCCCATAAAACTGTTTAAAAAAAAAAGTTGCCGTCTCAGAGACCCATGGATGGGGCCCTGTCCCGAGGGGTCACCAGGGGTCAGCAGGGCTTCAATGGCAGTGAGTGGCTTTGGATTTTGGAGGGACCAGACTACTCATACTGCAGGTGGCCTGGGCTGCTGTGAGGGGCAATTGGGAGGAAGGGAGAGTGTGGGGCGAGAAAGCAGGATTAGGGTCAGGGACGAGGAGGGCATGGGGTCTGGGCCTGGCCTCAGGTTCTTTCTGAAAGTCGCCCGAATTAACCAGTTTGGCAGTCGCTCCTGGAACAGCTGAGAGAGGTATCAGTTAATAACACCCATCATTCCAATTCGGTAAGCCCCGGAGGTCTCGGGACATCCCCCAAACCCGAGTGTCCTCGGATACTGAAGTGCATTTCTAAAGGGAGGGATTGCTTCAGTGGTTTCCATGGCTGACAGACGAGCAGCTTCCTCTAATACAGCTTCCTACTGCCCAAGACAGGTCCAGCTCTCTCCGTTCTGCCCCATTCCCCACCAGCTACCCAGAAGCAAAGTGCGGCGAAACCCAAGAGCAGTGAGACAGCCAAGCAGCAAAGACCCCAGAGGACGGAACTATGGGACAGGGGCCACTTCTGCTCCCACTTGTCCCACAGCAGCTCGTCACAAATGACTCCCATCAGGCCGAGTGTCCAAAGCACCCCGCTCGTCTCTCTCCTGGCGTCCACGTTCTCTGGTCTCCACTCAGCTCCACCTCCCCAAAAGTTATCTCTTGCTACCTTGGCAGGCTCCCAGCCTTTAGCACAGGCCACTAGCAGGGGCCTTGGGGCCTTGGTTCAATACCATCACGGGGCGGCGTGGGGTCTTTGGAGCAGAGAGAGGAGGTCGAGAAGGCTGGAAGAGAGGAGAGGTCTCAAAGGTAAGCCCTCCTTCGAGGCTACATCCCTGGGAATTTCCATCAGCCTGGGTTCCAAGATAAGCAGCAAGGAGCCAGGAAGCCATCCACAGCAGGTAATCCACCCTCTTAGTGCAAAGTGCACGTCTCCATTGCTTCTTCCAGCTGAGTCCAGTGGGTGGTTGATGTTTCAGGGGAGAAGGGCAGCACCCCAGTAGCCTTGCCTCCTCCTCCTCCCCAAGGCACACGGTTTCAAAGACGAGCACAAGGGATCCGGCCCACCCTTTCCAATCTCACACCAGGCAGTCTCGTGGAAGGGGTGGCTCTGGTACCTCGGAGAGCCCCAAGGGAAATCAGTGCCTAGTTCAGTGCTTGCACATCAACCACACCTGCTCACAGATGGGGCGGGGGGCATGTTTCAAACTGGGCCGGGGGCTCTTCTGTGATGGATGGCATTCATGGTGAGAAGGGAGACAGGTGACAGATCACCAGGAAGACCACCCCCTCCCCCCTCTTTCTGCAGCAGAGGTAGCAGGGCTGAGGTCTCAGCGTGGGGGACTTGCATCACCACGCAGATGATCCCCATCACAGGCGGATGAGATCGGAACAGGAGCATCTTTTGTGCCAAAGCCACCAAGCCATTCCAAACCTTGGGTGTTCGTGGCAGCCCGGCGAGTGAGAGGTATGCCCAGTAGTCTGGGGACCCATGAACAGTTCGGCGGGATTTGAGCCACTCAGCACTTACTCTGACGCAGTGGACCCGCGGACCCTTGTGACCCTGGGCCACCAGGCGGGTGGAATCTCGCTTCCAGGAGCCACGTGTGGCCCAGGGTTTGGAGCTCGTGAACACAAAGAAGGAAATGAACTCCTGTGTCCATTTCCCACGGGTGGGACAGGTGGCCCCTTGTGCCTATCAAAGCGCACGGTGACAACTACTCCAGAGGGAGGGGAACAGGCCTCCCGGCGCCTGCCACGCAAACCCTGGGAGGGGCTCCAGGGGGACCAGATACCTACTGCTGGTCTTCATGCACCTCTATCCTGCAGCGCAATGTCAGAACGAGGGACAGCTGAGAACAGGCGCACGAGCATCGAGCATCGCGGTTCTCACAGGCACACGACGGAAAAACAAACACCAAAGGCATAAGAGGGTGACTCCCCTTACACTGGGATTCTGAGGCCGCTCTTAAACCCTGCCCAAAGGCTACTCAGGTAAGCCACGTCCTTGTGAGGCACTGACCGCCACCCTCCCCTTCATGGTAACTCTGAGCGTTGGCAAATGCAACCCCCTGAATTGATGGGCCATCGAAAGGGAGACGGCCTTGCGTGCCAGAACTCCCTCCCCAGCCCCTCCTGCCCTCCGCTCCAGCCCACGGAGGCAGGACCCCAGCCAGGGAGTGCAGGCATGGCTGAAGCTCAGCTCCCATCAGCCCGCCGAGCCCCTCCCCCCTGAGCTTGCTCCTCCAACCTGTGCCTCACACGCAAGGAGGGCCCCTCTTCCCTCCCACCCCCAAGCCTGCAGGTGGACAAGAGACCAAAAGAGCCCGTGTCCACCCCTTCGAAAAAGAAAGGATTCTAATTCGAGTTCCTCTTTCCAATAGTCGGATTAGGAGAATAAGTCCCCTAGAGTCAGCGGGGTACGGCTTTCCCAGGAAGCGGGTTAGGAGAAAACGATGGACGCTTACCCATTTTTGAAATAGAGGACATGGGCTCTCTGGAGTCCTGTTTCTAGGAAAAAACCTAGTTCTTGATCGTGAGGAGCAGGGCCAGGCTTGGGGCTTCTGTTCTGAATATTAGTAAGTATTACCTAGAAGAGGAGAAAATGGGAAAACTAATCAAACGCACATCCACGCCCACTCCCCTCAAACCCTCTCTCTCAAGGGACCGCGGACAGGAAGGCGGCTCCCTGGTTGATTTAGGGGGAATCCCGCCAATCAGACAGGATGCTGCCAAGAGACCCAGGGGCCCACCTGGCACCAGTGCTGAGGAAGGAGGGCTCCCGGTGGGCGGGTGGTGCCAGGAATAGCGTTGGAGGTGGGATGACTTGGCCGACTGACAGCCTACTGCCACAGGGCAGGGGCAACAAAGGGCAGATATCAATACCCGAGGTCCCGGACAGGCACGGCTGCAGCTTCGGCCCCGGCATGAGTTTGGGGAGCTCAGACTGCCGTGACCAGCACTGGCCCTGGGGTTTGTCACGGGCTACAAAGCTGTGGCCTGCAAACTATTCTCAAGGGAAGGACCGGAACCTCAAGCTCCACTTCCTCTCTAAGAGCCCTGGCAGCCCAATAGTTAAAACACTCGGCTGCCCATTACAAGGTGGGTGGTTCGAATCCACCCGTGGCTCTGTGGGGAGGAAGGTGTGGCCGTCTGCTTCCACGAAGATCACACCCTTCGAAAGCCTCCCCTGGGGGCCGCTCCGCTCTGTCCTGTGGGACTGCTACAAGTTGGCATTGATTTGACTGCAGCGGGTTGGGTTCCCTCTCCCCCTCGGCCACGTCTCTCACTCGAAGTTTCCAGAGTTTTAGCATTTTAGCTTTGAAAGAAGGACTTCCAGCTGACCGGGAGAAAGACTTTCAAGTTGGGGATGGCATCTCAAAGCCTCACTGTCAGCAGATCAATGTCAAGGCTTTCCACTCTCATAAGGATTTGCAGGCTCAGAAACCCAGGGGGCAGCTCAACTCTGTTCTGTAGGGCCGAGATGAGGGTGGTCTGGCAAAAGGCAAATGCGTATCTGCTGTTACAGAGGCCGTTCTCTTAAACTCACGAGCCAGACAAAAGAAAACAAGTGAACTCAAAAACCAGACTCGCTGCCAGGGACTTGATGGACGGGTGGCACGCCCCGTGCGTGCCCAAGACTGCGACGACTCTTCACAGGAGCTGAAAGCCCCGCGGGTGGTTTCCAGTACTCGTCGCCCCTTCGTCACCGGGGATCTTCAGGTCAGAGAAAGCATCTGCCAGACACCGGCTTCTGGCCCATTTCCAAGCCACACGAGCGTCTCCAAACGTGTTATCTCCGTTTACGCCAAGTCCCCAGTTCTACAAAAGACCTACACCTGCTACAGCCATCTTGTGGTTGCTCTCCAAGCGCAGCCGAAGCAGCACTGCTGGATGTCCGACACACGCGCTTCAGCAGAACAGAAACGGGGAAGGAGCATCATGGACCAGAGGCTGAGGAACGGAACCCAAGTGGGCAACCCTGGATTGAACCACAGCCCATCAACTTCACTGAAGCACTTGCCTCCCTCACCACCTGACACCTGTTCCCATCTCCAGGTGTTCCTGTCGGCTCTCGCCTTCCAATCCTCTCCACAGCAGGCTCCTCCCTGCCCATCCTCTGAGGGCTGGAGAGGCACAGAGCGGGGTTCTAGGCACCTCTGCTTTCTCAAGCCTCTCTCTAAATGCTCCCACCTATTTCTCTCACTGCCATCAAGTTGATTCTGACGCATAGCAACCCCATAAGACCGGGTAGAACTGTCCCTGTGGGTTGCTGAGACTGACCATCTTTAGGGGAAGAGACAGCCTCACTTTTCTCCTGAGGAGCATCTAGCAGTTTCAAACCACTGACCTCCCATAACCACTCCGTCACTGGGGCTCTCACTCACGTGCTGACAGTGCCCAAGTGGACTCTCTAGCTCAGACCTCCTCTCCGAATGCCGGACTCCCCTGCCTATCCAAGTGCTTCCTGACATCTCAGCGTGGGGGCCTAGTGCTAAAACGTGCCAACACTCCCCTTCACCTGCCTCAGAAAGTCGTTTTTTTGTGGAGAACACCAGGAGGTTTTAAAGGAAACCCAGTTGGAAACAGTGCAGCTCAGGAGATTAACCTCCCCTCCAACCTCTACCACATAGAAGAGCCTCGGTCAACAGGCTGGACGATGGTCCAGCTAGGTCTCCGTTCGATATGAACCCAGGAGGGAAAGATCAAAGCCATTTCGCAAAGCTGAGACCCTGTCATACGTGCAAACTCTCCGTTCAAATGCCTACCTCTCATTTGGGTTAAAGGAAGTGCTATCAAACGACCGCTCAACTTTACAAAAGCGTGGCTTTTAAAAATTATTATTACTAAAAGATCATTTCATTGGGACTCTTACAGCCCTCATCACAATCCATGCATCAATTGTATCAAGCATATTTGTACATATGTTGCCATCATTATTTTCCAAACATTTACTTTCTATTGAGCTCAAGGTATCAACTTCTACCCACCCCCCACCCTCGTGACTCCTTGATAAATTATAAATTATTATTATTTTCATATCTTACACTGACTGCAGTCTCCCTTCCCCCACAGTTTCTGTTGTTTGTCCATCCCCCTAGGGTGTGGGGAGTGTGGTTGTGTGTCCATCATTGAGCTCGGTTCCCTCTTTCTCCCCTCCTCTCCCCACCTTCCCTTTGCCCCGCTGGTATCGTACTCCCATTCCTGTTCCTGGATTCCGTGTGCACATGCTCCGGTCTAGCCTGAAAGCGTGGCTTATTCTGGACAGAGTTCGCAAAGATCACTCTCTGAAGTTAAAAATAGACGTTGGGTCGTTACAGAGAGAACACACAGTTGCTTCTGGAACAACGTGGATGGGAACTGTGCAGGCCACTAATCACTCACTGCCGTCCTGCCACCACGTTGGTGCTGACTCACAGGGCCCCAGAGGACAGGGTACAATGGCCCCCGTGAGTTTCCTAGCCCGTAGCTCTTTACAGGAGCAAAAAGCCCCATCTCTCTCCTTCAGCGTGACTGCGGGTTTCCAACTGCAGAGCTTGCCGTTAGCAGCTCAGTGCGGAGCTAGCACACCACCAGGGCTCCTGCTCCACTAACAGGCAGATTTTCTTTTCCTGTTGAAAGTGAGGTGGCCTGATGTCTAAGTGTAGGTGGTGAGTGTGGAGGGCAGGGGGTTCAAAGAGGGTAGATGGTTATTTTTTCCTACTGAAGTGAACTTTCTGGACTCTATCTGGTCTCATTCTAGAGCTGAATCAACTCAGATTCTTCTTTGCACTCTCCTTCTATCTCTCATGCCTGTCATGTTACTATTTTAGCACTGACAATTCCATTCTCCCTCCCCATGGGTTCTGCCTTCGTGCTGTGTTAAAGGGGCAATCGTTATTTCTGGAGTTCCTGGCGATCCTGATCCACCTCAATTGGTGGGATAGTGCCCACCGGGCTCACCGTTGCTGCAGTCTCTGATTCTTGTACTTGTATGTTCGAAAACGCCTGTCTCTTTCCACATGCAAGCCGGGGTGAGACGGACAGGCTTAGCTTTCGCATGTCCCTCCCTTGAGACACGGCCGACAGATGACGTAGGCTGTGAGTCTTCGGAGACTGAAAGGGGCTGTGGCGAGCTCGGGGGTCGGCCTAATTGTGGATCATCTGCACAGGGATCCTTTCCCTGCTGCAGTCTGGTAGCATCTACTAGGGGTTGTCTTCCTGGTCATCGCTTTTCTTGGAACCTAGTGTGAACCCTAGGACAGGGTCAAGTCTGCAGTAGGAGTCGTGGCCACCTGCTTCCGAGTACTTGGTGAAGTGATTACCTTCTAACCCTGAGTTCCCTTGTAAGTAGATGGAGATGGTAATGGGACTTGTCTCCTAGGGCAGCCCTTCGGACCAGACCAAGTGAGTAGAGAATGGACGATACACTCAGCACAGCGCATAGCTGCTGCTGCTGCTGCTGCTGCTGTTGCTGTCGTCAGGTGCCACAGAGCCAGTTCTGACCTCGAGCAGCCCCATGAACCTCCTAGATTAAACTGCCAACAGAAGGGGCATCCTCACAATTGTTCCTCCCTTTGATCCCGTGGCTGCAGCCTCGGTGTCCGCCCATCTCATTGAAGGCCCTCCTCTCTTTCACTGTCCGCCTACTGAGCATGATGTCCTTCTCCAGGGACTTGACAACATGCCCAACGCCTGTAAGACGCAGGAAGTCTCATCATCCTCGCCTCTCAGGAGCACCTGCCTATACTTCTTGCCTGGAGCAACCATCTTGGCCTGGCACCTGGCCTTGCGGGACTGGCATCCAGTCTTTCATCGTTGCATGGGCTGTTGGCTGTGGATTTTCTCACAGACGCCGTCTATCAGGTTGGGTAAGTACCCCTAGTTCGTTGGGCGTGTTTCTCATGAAAGGGAGCTGGGTTTCTGTCGAAATGCTTTATCTGTGTCTACGGAAATGATCGGGTCATGGGTGGCCTCGGGTATCCTGGTACGAATGGATTTTCAGAGAATGAATCAACTTCGCCCTCCTGGCGTGAATGCCACTTGGCCTGTGAGCAGAATCCTTCTCATATGTCTCTCGCAGCCTGGGCTGCTCGCCTCACACAACTTGCAGCGTGCGAGCTGCTGCGGAAACCCAGACCCGCCTGACTCACACCGAGTTCCCCCTCTGTCCCATCCTTCTGAGCAACCAAGAGGAGGCTTCGGGTTATGGATGGGGGAACAGACAGGTCAAAGGGGACGGGGGTGGGGGTGGTGGTGGAGAGGATTTGCCCTGACGTGCCAGTGGCAACACTTAATCCCTCTTTCATAAAGAGCCCGTGCTGCCTGCTCAGGCAAAAGCGCACATTCCATGACTGAGGAAGCAAGGGTAGCACGGGGCATGGAGCCAAAGACTTCAGGTCAACAGACCCAGGTTCCCGTCTTGTTTGGATACATCTCGCCATCCGTGGGACTTAGGGTTGCTCCCTCAATGTCTCCGAGCTTCATCATCCTCAACTATATCCGTGGGATACTCACACCTGAAGAAAACTCACTGCCATCGAGGGGATGTCAACTCATAGTGACCCTATAGGACAGGCTCCTGGTGAGGTTCTCAGACTGTAACTCTTT